ATTGCTTGGAATAGGGAGTGGCGGCGTAATTTGCAAGTTTTTCGGGTGAAAGCCACCTGAAATGTGGAAATAATAAGTATTAATATTATATTTCTTTATATTGTATTATTATATATAATTATATATTATTATTTATTACCTGTATATTAACATAATATTTTTCATAGGCATAGTATAATCGCTTACTTTACGACTTGAACTAAAATTGCTTATTTTTGCCGTTAACTTTTCCGTTAATAATATATTATGACTAAAACATTTAAAGTTATAAAAGTTATTAAATGATTTAAAAATACATTATATTTATGAAAATATAACAAACCTTCTTATGTCATGATGCAAAATATCACAGAAATGACAAAATGCTAAACCACTAGCGATCTCGGATGCTATCCTTAGTTTAAAGTCCCATTCCAGGTTTGGAGTATTTTTCAAGTATGTGTTGAGATCTCCCATCTCTGCCCATTCCGAAATAATATATAATTTACCGTTAACCTGCGTTGTGCCATAACTATACAATAAATTGTAATTTTTTTTAATATTAAAGCATATATATAGTTGCGTAATGACTTGTAAAGTATATAAAATACTATAACATACAAAGTTATGATATTCAAGCAATTTTTCAATTCAGTAAGAATTGAGACCTGCTTTTCAATTTTTTCAATTTTTTCAGCTTGATTCTCATTTGCACTATTATCTGAACCTTTTAAAGTCGCGATATATGCGATCTCCTTTTGAGCAACTGGCTGTACTCCACTCATGATTTTTTTAACAATCTGCCCATCGCCACGTTTCACTTCCTTTCCGTTTTCTATATGATCTGTAATTTGTTGTCCAGAAATTTGAGATTTTTTAAAGATTCTGTCTGCTTCAGTACTTTTATCGTTGGTAATGGCCGATTGAATCACGTCTATTTTATTTCCGAGTGCATTAAGTTTCTCTGTATTATTCATTCCGCTTTCAAATATGTCCTGCATAACTTCTTCTATGACTTGAAGTGATGTTTTAATATCAGCATGGAATACTCTTTGATCGTCTTCAATATCTCTATTCGTTCGAAGACATGTCGATAATCCTAATTGTGAAACTGCTGAATCGAATTCTTTAGTAATTTCATTGTAATTATTTTCGATCTATAATTGATATAATGAATAATTAGTGTAAATATTAAATTTTTCGTCATTATAAATAAATAAATAAACATATATGTATGTATTAATTAAAATTACCTCGCGAGCAGCAATTAATTTCATAAATGGCGAAGACTTGCTAATTTTATCAATGAAATTTTTACATTTTTCTATCGCACGAACATAAGCTCTTAAAGCCAAGTCATTCTCATCCTTTATACTAACTTTATCAAGCGCCTGGTTTGCAATACGTATGCGATCAGCTAATCTATTACAAATTGTTTTATTATGCCCTGCTCTTTCAGTTAAATTAATTATTTCTTTAAATATTATAGCTGCAAGAGCAATTGGTGGGAGTACCGTGCCAGTGTTTATGAGAACATCTGCCGCTATTTTAGCACCAGAAACTCCAGTGTTGGGTTCAGACATTTTTTTTTTTTTTTTTTGTTATTTATTATTATTTTTTTATCTTTATTGTTTTGTTTTTTTGGCGAAAACTTTAATTTTAAACAAAAGGCACTTTCTTTAATATATAAAAGATTTAATTCCACACTCTTTTAATAATATTATATATATATATAATGATAATAATAATAATAATAATTGAAATTTCTTTTTTTTTTTTTATCGGTAAAGACTTCCGAGAGTTTACGCCTTTCCAGAATAAATGCGCAATCTTGTATAAATAATGAAATTCTTTAATATATATAAAATAGGATGTGGAACAAAGGGACTAAATAAGGTTGTGTTGTATTTGTGTCACTTTCTCTGCTGCCTATCTGAATATGGAATTTTCAATACATTATGTGGTTGTCATAAAACGTTAGCCATTTTATTTAGATTGCAGTTTTTTTTTACCTTTTTAATATTTTATATAGAAATTTTTGACCTGTGAACTCACTTATCTGGATACGTACGGTTTACATATCTAGATGTTATGAATGTGAAAACGGAGAGTATGATTTACAAAAATGTTTGATGATGTTCGTCTGCAAAATATTGTAACCAAGGAAACCTTTTAAAACGTTACAAGGTGGCAAAAATTTAACTGTTTATGTTTATGATACGAACCATCTAGTCAACATCAAATTTGTGCCATTTATATGTCTAAGCCACAGTGTATCGATTATTCGTATTGGCTAAAAGTCATTTGTCACTCGACCATACAATATATCAAAGCAATACATCAAACAAAACACCAAACAAATCACTATGGAATACACATATGGGATATCGCCTCGCTGCTCACGTGGTCCACAGCTAGTCTCCTAGCATCGATCACTACTGTACTCATTCGATATCCAACCTGTCCGGTTGGGCTATCGGTTGCCTACTTGATATCCGGGTTGTCCGCCCGGGCTATCACCCCAAAAAATAACTCTCTAATCTACCTAGGGCCCTCCACCTGTGGCGGGTGGGTGGGTACCAACGACAAAGCTAGACTTTCGTCGAGCTAGCAGCAAAGACAAAAGAGGCAGAACCACTTTTCGATCCAATACTCTTAAATAGTCATTTACTATGACCTCATACTTACCATCACTTATTCTATCAAACTCGGCATTCATCACCCAATGCATCACTACTTACTAATCACCCATTTCATCACCACTCGTTCATCACTACTTACCCTCGCCAATCTAACATCATGGGTCTGGGTCCGGGATCTGGATCATGATCTCGTGACAAATGGATGCCTCGTAATTTCGTTCACGTCATCCCAATTATCACATTTACGAACTTCTACAAAAAAATGCAATTAATTCTTTAATTGTGGTTGCACCACCAATCAATTAATTGTGATCAAATAATTGCAATTAATTGCCTTCACAATCAATCAATTATTCGGTATCCCTGTTGGAAAGTGGCTTCATATTGTTTTTTACTTATCGATTATTATAACTTTTGATTATTTCATTTCACCAGTGATAGGATGAACCCAATTTAATGAGCCGTGATTGAGCGTATGGGCCAAAATGTCCAGTCGTAACATTGTGATTATTAAAATGATTATAAAATTTATATAAAAACTGATAAGACCCATAAAGAAGCTATATAAAAAAACTGATAAGTAATTGATAAGCAAATCATAAGAAATATCACTTTTAATCTCAATAGTCACGCCAAATCTTTCATATGATTGGTTTAAAAATTTTTTATTTAATAAAAACTGCGGAAATTGCAAATTTTGGCCCATACGGTCAACTCATAACTCGGATCGTAGATTGGCTGAAATTTTAAATCCTATTCACTCAAAATATGAAGAATTCATTAATCACTATAATTGATTATAAAGTGGCATAATACATTTTATAATTTAACATTCATATTCATCTCTCACAGGTCAAATGAAGGCAAATCAGGCACCATACGGCATCATGTAAACCCGATATGAACCTGATTTGAACAGATATTTGCACAAATAGGAGATTTTTAAGATACAAATCTGCTATATAGGCGTTCAATATATGGGATGTCTGTAGAAACCAAGCAAATTATTTTTATTAAAATTTTAAATTAAATATCTTAACAACTATTAAACCAAACCTGATAAATTTTTTTATTTTATCTTAAACCTATAACTATATAGGATTAAAATGAATAAAAAACTTTATTAAGTTTGGTTTAATTGTTGTCGAGTTATTTTAATTTAAAATTCAAAAAAAAAATCTACTTAGAAACAATTTGCTTGTTTCTACTGACAACCTCCATGCTGATAGCTCTATAGGTAAATCTATAAAGCCTTAAGGCAAGCGGTATCGATGTATCTATAGAGCTATTCCGACATATATTAGACGCATATATGAACACTATTGTATCTCTATTTGCACCAAATTCTTTTAATATCAGGGATTACATGATGCCGATTGGTGCCCGATTTGCCTTCATTTGACCTGCATCTCTTAATGATTGTGCACAATTAAACGACAATTAGTACTACATGTATAGAGCTGCAATCTATTGCTATTAAAATTTTAATAAAGAAACATCATTTTAGAACAACAATAAGTCGGTATGAATGAAACACAAGTTGATTGTCCATCCTAAACCAGTTAGGATAGAGGACTTAATTTTAGTTAAATTTTGGGGAATTTACAAATAAGGACCTGAAAATGAAAATTATCACAAATACGGGCCCAAATTAAAAATAATTACACATAAGGGCCTAATTTA